AGATAGATTTTGGGATCTAAAAAAACCACATTGCTGGAGAAGAAAAGTCTCTAAACCAGTGTTTCTCAACTTTGGGAACTTTAAGATGGGTGGACTTCAACTCCCCGGATTCTGTGCTGGCTGGGGAATTCTGGGAGTTGAAGTCCACCCATCTTAAAGTTCCCAAGGTTGAGAAACACTGCTCTAAACTCATCCCATTGACGGCTAAACGTGTTTTGGCCCAGCTTCAGCAAAAGGGTGAAGTTCACAGGAAGGGTGGCAGGACCTGGTCAGATCTTGATCACTTGCGCAGCGATGCACGGGCTCTTCCGCTCGGCCCCACAGGCCTGTGGCTGGACCCACACCTGTCCATAACATCCCCCCACTTGTCCTTTCGTCAGCCGGCTGGGGTTCATGCAGACACACCCCAGGACGTCCTACGGGAGAACACAAAACACACCAATCTTGGTTTAAAATCAAGATTGTTCTAGGAACACGTGTCGGATCAGCTGCAATCAGATCGTGACGGCTTAGCCACGCAAACTACAATTTAGCCTAGTGTTTGTGCAAAGCCAACCCGTCCTGTTATTTTATAGTAATTTTCTGGACACCGAAAATTCAGTTATACATAGATGGACGAGCCGTTCTGGGTTTAAGTAATGCACTAAGCCTCTGTTATTTAACTAGGATTTCCTGATTAAACCATAATCCACTAAGGGACAAACAAGCCACGTTGTAGCTTAGTGTGATGCTTGGAGCTAAGCACTGGTTATCTTCTCATATCATGGTATTTTATGGTTTGTTAAGCAAACCACACCAACTCATTCCTCTCTTCCTGTGAAGCCATATAGTTTAACGAGCTGCAACCTTAACGATATACATTAAACCCAAACCAAACAAATTATGATTTAGTGCCCAGGCAAGTTGCCAAATATAAGGGTAAGAACTGGTTTGTCAGGTAGGTTCAACCATCTTTATGGCCCCCCAGCATTCTGTCTCCAGCGGAGGACAGTCCAGTGTTGCGGACCACCAGCACGCAGTTACGGCTAGCTACCCCCTTCCCAAAACTGGCGGGCACCTTGTCTTCTAAGATAGACAGCCTCTAAACATGGAAGCTCCATGGCACGTTCAGCAGCTTAAGAGATGCCTCTGTCAACCCCCACATTCACCGCCGATGAGTGAGGGCGAGAATCCTAACCCTGGAATCAGGGAAGGGCTATAACTCAGCGAGGCACGTATTTTGCACAGAAACAATTCCAAATTTGATCCTCCAGGGAATGTTGGGAGATTTCTCTCGGCCTGCCCCCCGCCCACCCCCCATGTACTACCACCCCCAACATGGAATTAGATAAACTGTCGCCCTTGGTAGCAGTGAACTTCTTCTGCCTCTCTCTGAGCCCGTCTTTCAACGGGATCATGAGGACTGTAATCTTGTGTTATTTTTAGGAGCGAGCCCCAACAGCTTGGGTATCCAAGCAGGAAGCCCCCAAGGGTGGGCCTGCTTTTTTTTTCCGTTCAGCTCATACTTTGCTTCTCCCCACCTTAATGAAGTATTTCAGGTCGGAGGGAGTGATCAATAAATCCGGCGTGACGGGCAGAGAGGCGTGTGGGTAGAAATTCTCATAATCCACATTCATCTCCTCAGGGGGTGGGTAGAGAGGATAGTAGCTGTTCAGAATTTAAGGGGGGGAGAAAAGAGATTGAGTTACTCCCCAATACTTTGTCAGACCTCTTGCTCATATTCAAGGGCGCGCCCGACAGCTGTTTCTTCTCCTCTACCCCTCTAGTACCAACGTGATGCCAAGCTGGTCTTTGTAACGCTGCTGCGGCTAATTCCAGGGTCCCCTCCCGGGAGGGTCCGCAGTCTCAAACGTCAGGGCCAAAAAAAGGCCGCGTGTTCCCAAGGCCGGCCCGCGGCACGTTTCCACAGAGGAAAAGAGGCTCCATTTCTCTTCTGCTCTACTCAAGGGGAGCTGTAATTCGAAATACCCGGAGGGCACCCGTTTGCCCACGCCGGAACTAATTCAAAACGAGAGCGAGAGGGGGACTGGAATGATTCAACCCAGCAAACCATGGCTTATTGAATGGCGGTTT